AGATTAAGTAAGACACCATACATGAGAAAGAATGCCTGACATAATGGAACCACTCAAATCGGACTTTCCATCTTTGAGTTCCTTACTGGAGACTACATAAGTCCTATGAAAATTATTGAGCACATAGGAAGAATAACTACATTTTCTTTTCTGCTCCAAGGCAAATTGTCAGCAGTTTATCTGAATCTCAGTGGGAGCAGTGAGTAGGATGGTTGTGAGTTTTGATAGGTTTAATTTGGTTTTATATTTTGAGAAATGGCTATATTATCCAAAAGCAAAATATTGGAATGATTTCTTTATAGAGTTTATTTCTTAAATCTCTTGACCATTACTTTATTTTATAAAATGATAAATATGAAATTAAATCGGTAGCATAAATTGATGTATTTTGTAAGAAGAGTAATATTCCTTCTAACCTGGAATGCATGAGCTTTTAGTGACGCAGTCCTAGGTGTCAATCCTTTCTCCACTTTTATTAGTTGTTTAACTCTGGCTAGTCATCTAATATTTCTGAGCTTTAGAGTTTCATTTATGAAATGCAGATAATAATACTTGTTTTGAAGGAATGTTGTGAGAATAACATAAAGTATAAATTGAATAATATATAATAAGGATTTAAGAAAGTACTTCCTCTGATCTGTGAGCTAAGAGCATTGGTACTGGTTTCTTTTAATCTCCTAATTCTTATAAAATAATACAATAAAAGCATATAGTTATCTTAAGGAAAACCATGATCATTTCCCTACTTAAGTATTTTAATTTTTTTAAATTGATTTCAGAGAAAGGGAGAAGGAAAGAGAGAGAAACATCAATGATGACAGAGAATCATTGATTGGCTGCCTACTGTACACCCCTCCTGTGCTCTGACTAGGAATTGAACCATGAACTCCTGGGTCATAGGTCGAAGTTCAACCACTGAGCCACTGTGGCAGGTCTCCCTATTTAAGTATTTTAAATAAAGTACTACTAAATTGTGCTTTTTCTGGAGAGGTTTTGGAATAATTTTTGCCCTCTGTATAAAAATATTAAAATAGTTAAGTGGTCATAAAACAATATAAGAATTTTTATGTTCATAGATCCATAGGGTGCTTTAACAACACAAAGATCTTAGAAATTATGGCAGTCATTAGTGTCATCTGCCAAACAGTCCTAACCCTCCCATTTCAGGACCTATGGTGGGACTGAGTTTCCTGGCTTGAGTGGGACTGTGTAACTAGACTTGAGTAACAAGTTGTGCGGTGCAGTGCCTGTTCCAGACCTTTCAGACTCTATTTTCCCCTCTAGCTTGACAACCAGCAACATTTGAAAAGGTACTGGCATCAGAACAGGTCACTGAGAGCTTTTCTGCTGACCTTTAAGGGTCATGCAGCAGAAGACTGGAATTGTAGCTCCTTCTGAATGATCAGAGGTAGTTAAAAAAAAGTCTAGAAAAGATATATAAATATATATTTAAAAACTAGATTTTATTTCTTTATAGAAGATAAGAATATTGATCCAATTTTTGTTTTATTTTTTTTAAATATATTTTTATTGATTTCAGAGAGGAAGGGTGAGGGAGAAAGATAGACACACTGAGGATCAATCCTGGAATCCGGGCATGTGTCCTGACTGGGAATCAAACCATGACCTCCTGGTTCATCGGTTGATGCTCAACCACTGAGCCACACCTGCTGGGCCAATTTTTGTTTTAAATAGGTGGAGCAATATTTGGGGCCTCACTTCAAATTATCCCTTTAGAATTCTCAACCTTGACAGCACTTATACATAATAAAGATGCAATTCTACTTAATAATATAGATGATGTATCCTTCAAAGGAAAATGGAGATCAAAGTTAGATTAAGAGAAGTTTAAGAGCAGGGCATAGCTAAATCAATATTTGTTTCTCACCTGAAAGCTTTCTAGATTTTTAGTTGTGTTTTTTTAAATATCTATTTATGTATTTTTTCAACATCATGCAATTCTCAGCCTGAGTTCAATACTGAGTAATTTAGAGAAACGCAAATAGTTTTGACTATTTCATATAAAGTAAAAATAAAATAAGGCATAGTTTACATTGTTCAATGATAGGTAGCAGGAAGAATCTTATACTTGAATCAGGGATATTACTTTTATTTTTTTCTGGAAACATAATTTAAAAAGACAAAATCAGCATCACAGATTCAGATTTAAATAAAAGGTAGCAAACACAGTATAACATTTTTATAGGTTTATTTTTAAATATGACACACTTTGTATTAGCCTATAAGGCATCAAATGCCCATAACCTTAATAACTGCCCTTTTACAATATTAAATAACACATAATCAACATTAAATTACTATTTTTTGTTTGGCAAAGAAAGTACAATTAAAAGCACAATGAAAACCACAAAGTAATAACTCTCAGTATACTATCTAACAACCTGTCTTAGCTTTCTTGTCTGATGTGTTCGGAGCCTGGCTAGGAAGTGTGAAAGTGGCAGTGAGGAAGTAAGACTGGCTATTCCGGAGACACGGGGAGTTATTAAAACTTGGATCAAAAGAAAAAACTGTCTGCTTCCCATATTTCCCTGAAACAAAATAATAATTCATGGTAAAATAATTTCTAAATACGCCACACTCTCTGAGTCCGAAATTGAGAGGTTAAAAAAATTAGGCAGTTGTTTGTGGGTTACTGAACTATATTATTATGGCATCTCGTTCTGAGGTTGATTCCAAATTCTTCATTCATGACCCATGAAAGACTTGTCCTAAAAGCTGACATTAAGGCATGCCAAGTCTCCTATAAGAAAATTATTCTAACATCTTTGGATATTATGTTCTCTAGTTATAAAACATTCTCCTGACATACATAGTCTTGAATGTACCTAAACTTGCACAGTAACAAACAAACCACAGGAGCACTCTCAAGTGTTAGCCATGGGTTTTTAAAAATCCAATTTTACGTATTTAAATAACCTCTTACTTTTTACAATGTCAGTGCCGGAGTCAGGCAAATTATTTTCCAAAGCTTATGCCCATAAAAGTTGAAGGAGAGAATATTATAGAGTTCTATGAGCCATAAAATGATATAGCTAAAAATCGGCTGAAGGACAATGTGTTAATTCTCATGAACCCTTTCATACTGGGAAAGCCATTCTAATTCTTGTCAGTATAGTCACTCTTTATGTCCAGTTCTTGGAAAAGTAAAACCCCTTTACAGAGAACTGTGACGACCTTATTCCTTTGTCACAGTGGAATCTAGTTGGTACTATTAAATCTTGCTGACCAGGTGAACCATGGGTGAAGGTTGTGAATCTCCTTTGTCAGACCACGTTTTTGTCATCGTAGTAACTGCCACAAAGGAATCTGACCTTCAGACTGAAAAACCTCTCCTAATACATCTGGGAACATTTTTTATTTAGCTTTAGGTGATTCACCTATGTAAGATTTTGCATGTGCCTGTCACATGTGAAAGATGGTGGCTGAAACGTTCATTCAAGTCCTCTTGCCTAAAATTTTTGCCTGTCACAGAGAGATAACAAAATGTACAGTCACTTGGGTTCAGACTCTTAATTCCTGATATTCAATGGGTATAATGCTCACTCACTCATTTATTCGTATGCCTGGAGACAAAGGTAAGGCACACATAAATTTGGAAGGGAAGTCTCTTTGTCTAAATTTGCACCTTGAAGGACTTGTTTTGGCACTGGTCCACCTCAGTCCCTAAAACAAGTAAGTCTGAGAGGGATGGACTCAGGTATTTTAAGCAGAGAGCAGAGCATGTGGTACTGATTGATATCAAGGCAGTACCTTGTTAGTACAGGATCAAGGGGCATAGTAGTCGTGGGTAAGACGAGCACCCAGTCACCAAGCACTTCATGGTTCCAAGCAGTCCCATACCCCTCTAACTGATAAGTCAGCTGGGACATGGAGAGCCTAGAGAAAAGACATGCTTTTTATGATGGGTCAGTACATGGTGTAGTACATGGTCTGCTTCAGATGCTCCAAATGGCTGGAAAGGACATACAACATCGCAAAGAAAGCACTTCAGCTCTGCCACAGACAGTTTGAGGTCCCCTAAAAAGGAACAGTTTATGAAAGTCATGAAGAGAATTAAACTGTCCATTAGTAGCATGGAGAAATGGAGAAAGACAGCTTTCTTTCTGGTACTCAACCTTTGGGCTGCATTATTGAACAATGAGCTGCCTCCCCTTAAGATTAGGAAGGTGACTCTGAACTCAGCTTTCTGAAACCTGACACATAAATTAAAGGCCTAAACTACAGACCTCTGAAAAAAGTTTTGTTTTCCAGGTCTGGTAATAAAAACTCTCATAGATAACAACCAGCACCATATTGAAGAGAGAGGTGTAAGGTAATAACTCTCCACGAAGGACTCAAAATCAACACCACAGCTATGGTCCACTCAGTGTCTATATCAGTTATCACCTGATCTTGACAAAGTACTTCTAAGTAAATATTTAGAGACCCCAAAGCCCTCTTCATCAGATTGGAAACATGTCTAAACTTCAGGGGTTTTAGTTGCCTGTGCCATCATCACTTTAAATTCAAGTAATCTTCCTTGGGTCCTTTTGGTGAAATGGTCTGTCCTCCTATGATTTAGAACCTTAAAAATGTGCCCTATAAATGAACATACTTAAATAATGTTGAAATAAGCATTTATTTACTACATTTCAATTTTAAAATTAAAATATATATATATATATATCTCTTTTAGGTCACATCAGAACTATATGTCATTTGGTAGCACTGCAAGATTTATGAAATGCTTCCAAATGAAAAGCTAAAAAGCTTTAGTGTTTTTCTCCTTTATTGTCAGTTTTACAGAATTGAAAAAACTTCCTAAACACTTGATTCTTAAATTTGTTCTAAAATAAACTGAAAATCAGGCCACACAATTAATTCAATTTAGTCTGTGATTTGGCTAAATGAATCTTGCTCAACAATAAATAAAAACAAAACTCAGCTGATCCCACTTAGCTTCTATGAATAAACATGTATTTTCAAAATGTATTTAAAACAAAAACAAATAGCTCAAACCTATTCACTCAGCCGAGCAGATCATTCCCTGATTGCCTCGACATCGTTCAAGGAGGGCCCTCAAGCAGGCGAAAACCTGACAACTTATAAACCTTTAGAACATGCAACTTACACCACTGGTAAGCTGGCCTCAACACAAACCACAAAATGACATGAGATTCACAGTAAAACAAAACGTTTGTTCAAAAAGCACAAAGAACCAGCAGTAGAAAACAGAAATCATGTACAGCTTGTCCCAATTCTTCCTGAATCAATAATAGGCTATTCTATAGGGTAACTGATCCCTGTCTAACTTCCTCCAGTGTTCATATATTTCTTGGGTTTTTTTGCCTAATGGTTTTTCACATACCCATCCTCTCTATTTTTTACTGTCCTCTGATCTTCCCTTTTGTGTTTCCCCTTAACCCTTAGTCACACACTGCATACTTATCAAATCCATTTGACACCCAAGAGCTCATTCATATAGAAATCCTGACTCACACACTCTGCCAGCCAAAGTCACCCACGTATTCCACAGTCCTCAACAACAAAAGACTGCAGGCATTAGGCTTTACAATCTGCAAAGAAATCACTTTCTTACTTCCCCATGCCTGCCCTCCCACCCCAACCCCCAGCTCCAGTCCTCTTTCAGAATGATCCCACTGAAAATGGTAACACAATACTGGAAGCCACAACAAATCCTCCCGAATGAGGTTGGAACCATCTCAAGGAATAATTGCAAAATTCAAGATCTTTCTGAGGCTGCACTTCCTGAACCACTACCATAGGGAAGATGATGTGTTAGGGTGTATACTGGGTGTTTTGCCACATTGCCCATCATGCCTCTCATAGGAGCTTCCTGAGCTCAGTCACTGAGGGCTTGGATATAAGAACTCAGAGTGATGCCTTGACCATTGTGATGAGAGGTGCAGTTCCCATTGACTCTCTCTCCATTTTAATTTTTTGTCTATGGGTTGTAAGGACTGCTGACACCCTGGGGCAATGTCTCATTGCATGGCCTAGAGCCAGTAATACATGCTTCTAGGCACAGTCCCCAAGTCCAGCTACAATTGTATTGGAAGTTTTCTCCAAACAACAAAACATCACCTGGGAGTGTGCCTGAGCCAATCATGACTCAAACCTGCCCAGATGTTTGCATGTCTGGAAATATTTTTAAAATGTCTTACAAACTGCCTCTCTGATGTGAGAGCCAGGAAGGACTTCACGAGCATGGGTAACCAGTATCATAGCTAAACCACAGACAAAAAATGAAATTTATATCAGCCAGTAATTTTATTTCATCTAGAGAATGGGCAGGAGACACTGGCTATTATCTGGCATTACCATTATAGGTTAAATTCAGATTGATCTCGTAATGATTTACATAATTTCCTTTTACTAGAAAGTGTATTCTAGTCAATTACCACTTCTGAGTACAGGGGTAATTTTAAATATATGCAATTTATAGTTTAAAAAAATAACCAACAATCCTCACTTTTTGAAACATTAAACTCAAAACCCTATATTTTAGTGTGTAGCCAAATTATAGGAAGAAAAACATATCAAAATTAATGAATAAGAAACTTTAAGAATCCTATATAATAAAAGCGTAATATGCTGTGTTTCAACCAGTCGCTGTAACGCCCACTGACCACCAGGGGGTAGACGCTCCAACTGGTACGTTAGGTTGCTGCTGGGGTCTGGCTGATTGGGCCTGGGTGGGATGTCCCGACATGCCAGGGAGCCCTCCTACAGTCCTTCCCCGGCCAGCCGGCCCTCATTGGCCCAGATCAGCGCAGGCCGGCCAACCTCCTGCAGTCCCTCCCCGACTGACCCCTATTAGCCCCAATCAGGACTGGGTGAGATGGCCCCAATTGGCCCAGATCACTGGCCAGGCTGAGGGACCCTACCTGTGCATGAATTCGTGCACCAGGCCTCTAGTTAACTATAAACCTTATTATATGATTAGTGCTTAAGCTCTCTTTGACAAAATTGATGTCTACAATTGATCTGTGTATGGGAACTCCTAGTGTCCAAAGAATAATATCCTATATCTTATCAAAGAAATCATTTGTACACTGGGCCATTAGAAATATTTTTGCTGGAGAAGTAGAAGTTGATGGCCATCACAGATTAATCTATCTCAGCTCTTTAGAAGGACAGGTGTAGCTGAGTGTGGTTTCTTAATGCAACTTACATGGATTTTCTTCTAAATAAAAAATACGTGGAGAACAAAAACACTCACAGGCTGTTGGTTTGGGAAATCAATTTTTCTTTCCAGGCAAACAAACTGCACTGTTAATTTTAAGAAATGGGGTTTGTGTGTGTGTGTGTGTGTGTGTGTGTGTGTGTGTGTGTGTTTTCATATAAAAAATGCCAAGGCAGACTCTCAAGTTCACAACCAGAGTTAACTCTGTACAGCCAGAGCATCTTCCTCTACCAAGGACAGCTCCAGGGCATTGTCGTGACTGCTGGTTTTCATCCTGAAGCTGAAGGAACCATAGAGTTTTGCAGATTCTTTGGAAGAGGCAAACCTGTTGCGACGGTACAGCTCCCCCTTCCACATAGACATCATTAGCAAACAGGACAGAACGACCCCCCCAAGAGTAAGCAGGCAGAGCCCGGCAATCACACAGCGGTCCAGATGCGCCCCCAGCCTGGCGCTCTCCTTCTCCAGGCGCTCCATCTCCCGGGCTGCCACGCTGTTGGGATCCACAGTCACTTCCCGCGGGACGATGTAAGAGATGATCACCAGCAAGATGCCAGTGACCAAGAACAAGACGGCGCTGATGAAACCATAGTCTACGGACTTCCCTGAAGACATGGCTTCCGAACTCGTGTCCTCTTCATCATCGGATATCAAGGAGATGGCAGCTTCGTGGGACCACTCGTTGGGATTTCCCAAGCCAAGGTCTCCCTGGTGATTACTCCCTTTGGCTGAAGGGGAGCTCCGGTTCCTCTGCTCCAAGTTCACATTCTCGTCCACGTAGGTGAAAGAAGTTTCTAGTTCCTGGCTGCAGCAATTGCAGACTTTCCGTTCTGCTATTTGGTGATTCCCTGAGCTGAGGGGTCCTGGTGGGAAGGAGTTTGGCTGGATCATGCTGTCTTGCAGAGAGGGGGAGGGGGAGGCTGGAGAAGGACCAAGTTCAGAGCCTTCCACCTCGGCTGCTCTTGGCGGGGACGTGCAGTGTCTCTGGCAGCAGAGAGCAGCCTTGGTGGCTGCTGCATCTGCCTGGTCAGCTGGAGGCCCTCCTGAACCCCAGTCCGCAGCATCACACCAGGCTGCCTGGCTGCTCTTTCTAGCAAGATGGTAGGGCTCCATTGGAACTACCCGGACATCCCCCAGCAGCTCCCAGAAATTCTGCCAAAAGAACCAACTAAGGCTGCACCACCAGGAGTGCTGCTTTGGAGGCCTCCATCTCCTTGGCAGCCACAGTGCTGACACTTCAAGCCCAGGTCATCCTGAAAGGGGGAGGGAAAGCAGAGGATGTCTAGTAGCTAGAAAGTGTGAAAGGGCAAACCCTCTGATTGATCACAGGGATTAACACTAGGAATCTCCGGTCAGGGAAGAAAAGGAGCAGGGAGGAAGTAGCAGTGTCTCTGAAGAAGGCATTGCCGTCACCAGGCCAAATTTATCCAAGGATTCACACATCTCTGTGACAGGATCCCTCAATGAGAAGGCAGGCTTCCTGTGCAGAGACACAAATGAGAAAGGCAGGGACCTTTTTTAGCAGAACTGCTGATTTTCTGGAGAACACGGGAAGCACAGAATTCTCAACATTTCAGATAAATTATAAGCATTTACCCTCTCTTTAATTCAGAGCAGATTCTAACACAGATTAGCTTTAGCGCATCACCACGGGTGAACGCATATGTCACTATCAGTTGGGCTGTTGGAGCTGGGGCTCAGCATTTTGACTGTGTGGGTGAGAGACGGCAGCTTAATCAGCCACCTCTCCTCACCTTGCACTGCATGCGTCCAATGACCCTGGTCACACAGCCCTGTATTTACAAGACCCCAAGCTTGTTCACTGTGCTTCCCTTCTTAACCCATCCCCTTGCTGCTACACAAGGGCAGCAGGTTATGGACCTGGAAGTATGTAGACAACATGCCTCATGGTGTGATCCCTGCAAATACTATATGCCAACGCACTCCTACACACACACACACACACACACCTCTGCCTGCTCCAGGTACAGGTCGACTACTGCTGCTCACTAACTCTGCATGGGTCTGAGTTCCTCTCCCTCTGCAGGTTTTGCTAACACAAGTGCACAGGATCTTGACCAGAAGTTTTACAAACCCAATCTAGAAGCAAGCTGACAACAGAAGTCGAATTATAAACCCACAGAGTCAGGGTTTGGTTGAGGCAAGTAGGTGAGAAGCAATTTCCAAGGCTACCTCTGGAGCTTTGTATCCATGACACTCCTTCACCCCCAGCGCAGCAAGGGACCTTCCTGGGACAGAACTATTAAGTTAAGCAGAAAACCATGTGCCCATCTTTCTCTGCCTCTGACATTTTTTCTGAGGAATAAAAATTCAGAGGTTTCAAAGAAAATAGAGCCCCCAAGTCCAGGGTAGTAATTGATTTAACCCATGGCTTGGGGTTTTTTTATGATTCAAAATCCATAGCTCCAAGAGCTGGTAACCCACACAGAAGCACAGGTAAGGCTAAGGTCAATCTGACAACTCACTTAAAATATGGGAGAGGGAATCCATACGTTTTCTGCTTTACCTTAGCTTTTTTTAAAACCTACTTTCCTTCTATTTTTGGAGTTTCTCTGCAGCTAAAACGAAACAAACAAAAATACATCAAGTGCAGGAAAATCACAACTGAACCAGAGCTTTCCCTGAGCGAGTGGACAGATCCCTACTGCAGGATCCCTCAGTGAACGAAGGGATGTAAGGAGTTTGATTACTGAAAGGAGAAATCATCTCGCAGGTCGCTCAGACATTAGGCGCCCCGAAGAACCTTTGGCACAGTGAACTCATCGCACTGGACTACTTGGGATAAAATCGGCAAAGTCCCTTAGGGGGCTTCTAATTTATAATAACAAAGAGGGAGAGAAATCTCCACTTGATTCCCCGGTCCTACGCCTGTCTATATTTTCTTCAAAGAGAGACTCCTCTGGTTCCAAGGGCGATACACTAGCCTTACAGTGGATTTCCTTTGCAGCTCTGATCCGGGGTTTCCACCCTTGACGGAGAAGAGCTAATCCCAGGAGACCTGCTAAAGGCTCTTTCCAGCCCTCCCTTCCCTTTCTTCTCTCCGGTTTAAGAGCGCAATTGATAAAACTGCACCTCAAAGCAGGGAGACAGCAATCTCCCTCATCTGTCGCCATCCATTAAAGCATGAATATCTGCGCTGGAACTAACTGACACGGGCGAGGCTGGTCTGGGGAGGGCGACCTCGGCATGCGTCCTGGGAGTGCTGTGCAGGACCGCGCGCTGCAAGCACTGGGCAGCGGGTAATCAATCAATTCATTCCGGGTGAACTCCGCACCCTCGGGAAGCACCCGGGCTCGGGCTGCGTTCTTCTGTGTTCTTCGCCGAGTACCCTGAGGCTGGGCAGGCACCTCGGGCAGAAAGTGGGGACGCGCTCCCCTGCTCCGCCAGGCTCCCGGGGTCCCTCCCTTGCTCCAGTGCCTCCTCCCCTCTGCTCTCCGCCACTCACCTGCTTGGGCCACCCAGTGCGGCTGCAGAATCGCGCTAGTCCCCGAGGGTTCCTGGGGAAAGTCTGTGATCACCGCCATGGCACTTGTAGCCACCGCACGGCACGCCGCGGAGCTCCTCGCGGTGGGCTGCGCCCCTGGTGCCAGAGGGGCGGGGCGGGGCGCTCCC